GGCAAGGATGCTCGGGGGTGAGGGGAGTCTGTATCCAAGCCCCCTCATAAACCCTCATAAACCCCATGAGCCCGAATAACCCTTCCTCATCCCTGAAAAGCGCTCAGAAATCCTCATAAAACATCCTAGACCCTCGTATGCGCCAACAAACCTTTACAAACCCTCAGAAAATCTCAACCGAAAACCCTCAGAAAATCTCAAACAACCCTAGATGAACCCTCATAAAACCATCAGAAAGTAGCAACAAGCCCTATATGAACCCTCCTAAAACCCTCAGAAAATCTCGATAAACCCTAAATGAGTGCTCATAAAACCATCAGAAATCTCAATAAGCCCGTTTTGAACCCTCCTACGACCCTCAGAAAATCTCGCTAAACCCCAAATCAGATGAACCCCTCACTCAACCATCAGAAAATCTCAGTAAGCCTTTTTGAACCCTCCTAAAACCCTCAGAAAATCTCGATAAAACCCAGATGAACCCTCGTAAAACCATCAGAAATCCCAGTACGTTCTTTTTGAACCTTCATACGACCCTTAAGAAAATCTCGATAAACCCTAGATGAAACCTCATAACCATCAGAATACCGCAGGGCGGCACACGAGAGGACATTCGACCGTTTCAGGGTTCAGGGATGGGTTCAGGGGTTTGCGCTTCTGAGCTTCGTGCTTCGGTTGGGGGGTTCAGTGTACCACTGCAAAGTGAGCTTTGGATCAGGGACGGCAGCAGTCGGTTCTTCCAAAATGGTGCTGCAGTGTTGCTGGGCGTGCTCTGAAGTTGACTGCTGCGCTCTTGCCTGTGCAGCATCTCTGCCAATATACACACACACACACATGGATCGGCCAAAACCAGCACTTCTGGTTGACAGGCCAAACAAGAAGCTATGAAGGCTACTGTGGGGCATTGAACGAGGGGCACTGAACTACGGGCTGCAGAGCTCATGCGCATAAGTCGTGTGTCACAGTGCATGGACGCTATCACTACTATTCGCAACCTACATTTCGACCGATCCACCTACGCCTGAACATTCACGCCGGTTGCGCCATGAACTACTCAAGCCTCAAGCGGACGATCACGAACACTGAACAAACTACAAAGGACGAATGTGGTCTTGACCACGCCGCAAGGGAACGAACCCACACGCACCCATGTCTGGTGTGTCGAAGGCGAGGGGATGCAAGGAGCATGCGTCTCGACGACTAAAAAACTTGGGAACCATTTTAGAGGTCATGAGGAACAACAGGCAACCGCATGTTTGTTGGACGCCTACCGTGCATCTGGCTGGTGTGTCGAGCAGTTGCTACATACGATAGGTGTAGCATAGCATCTTGCTCGCTGCACCAAGCAGTCTGTACTCTGCAGGCCTAGCTGAATGTATTGCACACTTTGCTGGGCTGTCTTTAAAGAATCTCGACTTTCAAGGCATGACCGCCTCGACCTCCACAACGCACAAAATTCATCTGCACACTCCCCCTCCGCTCACGTGGGGATCTCACAGGGGCCAACGATGATCTGTTTCGACGGAAGCGAGCTTCATGAACCTCTCTTAATCCCACGCGACGCCGGACGCTTCAGCGTTGCAGCTGCCGCCGGGCGCTTCAAGACCTGCACCTGGGTGTGGTGATTGCTCGTGGGGTTTACAGCTCAAGGCTAAGGCGCAAGATTTACAATCCTTACTAAATCACTTGTTTGGGAGAATAAAGCCCAGCCACGTGCGCGGCGTTAGAAGCCTTGCGGGCCACTTTGGCAGAATGCTTGCGAGGATGCTTCTCTGAGGGCACTCTGGCCAAAGGTTCAGACGACGACCTGCATGAACTGCTAGAACTGATATCATTATAATCGAATCTGATGCCTTGAACATGGTTTTCACTCGTGGCCCTGTCCACCGCTTCAAATGCCTCTGACCAGATGTTGGGATCTGCGATCATTCCGACAAGCTCTCCGAGAACAGGCTTGTCACATGGCTCCAAGATTTCCTGAAGTGCCATGTAGGCATCGTCCAACGTCGCTTGATCGTAGTCGATGCCCTCAATGCTGAACAAGCCCGGCATGGCCTTCAGCAGAGTCCGTATGACTTTGGCATTGCCCTTGTTTGTGAGTCTGGCCAAGGCCCGGTACACTGCAGTGCCGCTGCCCATGCCCAGAAGGCGGTCAATCAAGTCACTGTCCCCAACCTTGCCCAACTCAACCAGACCATCCACTGCAGGCATGTGCTGCCGCTCCTCCCAATATTCAGCCCCCGTGTCCTCCGTGTATGTGAACAAAAGGTTGTCCAGCATCACTGCAATCGCAGACCTGCTGTTCGCACTGCTGACTTTTGCCAGGCACTTCAATGCTTCGAACTTGCATTCCTCGCGAGTAGTAGTGGAACCAACGAACTGCACCTCTGG